GCCCCCTAAACCCTATTTAGGATGTCGGGTATTAACGGACTAGTTTAGACTCGGTTTAGTGTGGTTTTAGGGGCTGTTTAGCGTTGGATTAGGGGTTGATTGTGCTGGAATTAAGTGCTGTAATTGTGGACCGATCATGGCTGAGAAGTGGGTTGGATTATGGTGATCTAGAGACCAATTTAGGGGCTAATTAAGGTTGATTTATGAGCTGGGTTAGAGCTAGAACTTGAATTTTTGAAGTTGTTGTGAATCTCGGATTCGCGGTTACTGTACCCGTCCAGTTTTATATTTTTGTGGAGAATTTTTTGGGCCTAATTTGAGGAAGTTTTCTTCATGAAATTTGCTCCTAACATCTTGAAGTATGACATAATTTAATTTGGGAATTTTTGGAAATCATTTGAGTCCATTCGGAAGTCCATCTTTGGACCGAAATGGGTCTGCCCGATTTACTGTTCACCAGACCTTCGGGTCTGTTCGAATTTTTATAAATTTTTCCAGGCCTATTTTCAAAATACTTCCTTCACAAAAATTGTTGGAGACATTTGTGGCTATAACATATAAAAATTTCAAGGCTTTCCAAAGTGATTTGGGTACTGGATGAGATGCATTTTGATGGTCAGGTGGCTTGACCGGACGGGTTGATTTTCATCTGATTCCAAGTGGCAAAAAGAGGTGTTTACAGTTGGAACTGGGTTTTGAGTTCTTCACGGAAAATGTTTATCAAGATGTTTTGCACAACATATCCAAATTTCAGAAATTTTGGAGTTCGTTTACTATTTAATTGAATGGGATTTCGGTCACTGTGTAAACTGCCCAATTTTACCCCGATTCTTTGGATGTTCGTTTTTATGAGCGGAATGGTGGGGGTGTCGGGGTTGAATAGTTGCTGCCTCGTGACCAGAATTTATGCTTGAATATGTGTTAGATGAGTTGATTTGAGGATGAAATGAGGATGTTTCGGGGCTGGAGTGAGACTGATTAGAGTGCCGGACGATGTGGATTGAAATGACGGACATATAGTCCGATTTGGAGACGAATTGTGTCGGTTTGAATGGGCTGTGATGTGGCTGTGTTGTGGTGCCCGTTATGACTTGAATTATGCGTGGAAATGTTGAATTTGTGCCTTTGAACGTGGCTGTGTTTGTGGGCCCGTGAGTGGCCTTGTGTGTTTATTGTACCGAGATTTGATGGATTGAAATATGCTTGATTGTGTGCACGCTGGGGCCGGATTGAATGAATTGTCAAATAGGCCATATCAAATGCTTTGTGAGCATGAAAAGTGTATGTGAAATGTTGGGTGCACGGGCCGCGTGTGATTGGCCAACTGAGTGGCAAGTGGTTGTTGAGCATGTGCATGAGCAAGAAAGTGAATGTGGTGTGGCATGTGCGATCGTGGGAATTGTGCCGTCCTGAGGCGTGTTCGTTTACGCGGGACGATGCCCGGTATTACCGGAAGACTGCCAGCCTGAGGCATGTACTTCAACGCGGGTTGCGCAGTAGGTGGCAGATGTTGAGCCTAAGGCGTGTACTTTAACGCTGGCAAGAAACATGGCCTGAGGCGCGTACGCTTACGCGGGCCCGAAAGTGTTGTGAAAATTGGTCGCAGTGAACCTGAGGCGTGTACTGTAACGCAGGTCACTGGCGAGTGGTATGGAAAGGAATGTGATGAGGCAAGTGGGAATGCGTGAAACATGAACTAAGCATGCATGTGTTTGCATATGATGTGGGTGCGACTAACGTGCAGGTAGCACGTGTGATAGGCCCAGGTAAGATCAATTGATGTGCCTGCTTTGTGATGATAGTATGTGTGTGATTGTGTTTTGTGTGATTGTCTGGAGGTACGTGATAGCCTAGGTGGGGTTTAGGGTGTGTGCTTATTGAGATGTGATCTCATGGTTATTTCAACCAATAATTTCAGAACCCTGGCCTGAGCGATGAACCTTCCGCCGCCGCCGCAGCGTTTTGCAATACCGTTGCACACCGACAATAACGTGGTAGAGTACCCGACAGACGAGCATGAGGCTCAGGAGGATTCAGACTCGAGTTCTGAGGAGTCGGATTCGGAGTGGACGCCATCTCGAGGGCGTAGGGGCTAGAGTAGGGGTTGAGAGTAGGTCTTTTGAGGTGTACCATTTTTGGATGTTAGGATATCCAGGCTATCGATCCTTTTGATGTTGATGGTTAATAGTTATAAGTTCGGTGTGCTGGTGCATATGTATGGTGGTTTTGTAAATTGTGAATATTGTATAAGTTTGGAAGAAAAATGAATATGTATCTTCTCCTTTGTTTATCCCAATTTTTATTTGCCCGGGTATTAGTGGCTTTCGGTGATCGTTTTTAAATCTCGATAAGTTTAATTGGGTCGGCGATATCTGGGACATCGCATTAATCGACCAGAGAAGTGTGTCGCGTGCTCGATGGGGTTCGGAGCGTGACATTAGGCGTGAAATCGGGAATTTTGGTGGAACTTTAGAAGTCAATTGATGGCTGTGATGTGTGGTTTGAAGTGCTGTGATGGGCTGTTTGGTACGTGGTTAGTACCATTAGAACTGGCTCGTAATTTGATGGAAGTGTCGTGAAGAGCCGAGAATGAAATATTGTGATTTTGGGTGTGAAAATGGCAAATTGATGGCTGTGATGTGTGGTTTGAAGTGCTGTGATGGGCTGTTTGGCGTGTGGTTTGCGCCATTAGATCCGGCTCGAAATTTCATGAAAGTGTCGTGAAGGGCCGGGATTGAGATATGGTCGTTTTGAGTGCGAAAAATGCCAATTTGTGTGTTGGTTGTATGTTGTGATGTGACTGAATAGGATTGATTGATTTGGGCGCGTCTGAGAGCGCGTATTTGATGCTCGAGTGTGTGCACGTGTGAGACTTGTGATGTGCGACGTGCGTGTGATCACTAAAAGGCCCTGATGCGTGTTTACGCGGGGTTCAGATAAAATCTGGTATGTTGGTGTGTACATGTGATCACTAAATCCCTAAGGCGTGTTTACGCGGGGAATTGAACCGGCCTGAGGCGTATTTACGCGGGTCGTGATACGACTGTGGGATCGGGCCGAGTATTATAAGCTCGGGTTGCGATCACGTATGCCTGTCGCATTTGGCGCGGGCTGAAGAAAGTGGAAATTGGTCCGAGGCATGATCAGCTCGGGTGAGATCGGGATCGGACCGAGGCATGGTAAGCTCGGGTTTCGGTCACGTAGGCCTGTCGCATTTGGCGCGGGCCGAGGAAATGGGATCGGACCGAGGCGTGTGATGCTCGGGACACGATCGTGTAGGCCTGAGGCGTGTTTACGCCGGCCGAGGAAATGGGATCGGACCGAGGCGTGTGATGCTCGGGGCGCGATCGTGTGGGCCTGAGGCGTGTTTACGCGGGCTGAGGAAAGTGAGATCGGGCCTGAGGCGTGTTTACGTGGGTCGCGATGGCAATTAACGAAAATGATGTGATTGGTGCGTGACCGAGCGTGGAATGTGGAATTGGAAATGTGGTGTGTTCGATGTGTATGTGGGCATGAGAATGTGAGTGATTTGTAGTGCGTGTGGTTGAGATGCGTGTGAGAATTGTTTGTTATGATTGCGGACTAATGTGCAGGCTATTTATGCCAAGAGTCTAGGTTAGTGTGATCGTGTGGATGACGATGTTTGTGTTTATTGCTTGGTTGTGTCTGGATATGTCTGGAATACGTGGTAGCCTAGGTAGGGTTTAGGTTGTGACTTATTGAGAAGTGTCTCATGGTTGTTTCAACCAAACCATTTCAGAGTCCCCGCTTGAGCCATGAACATATTGAGGCCGACTCGGAGCCGTCGGGTGAACAGACAGCTGAGGAGGATTCAGGTGGTGATGCCGAGAACAATGAATCAGAGGGGACGCCTCTGAGAGGGCGTAGGGACTAGTTCTGGGAGCGAGGCAATAGTTTGAGAGTGCCCCATTTTTGGATAATGCTGATCCTTTTTGTATTTTGGAAGTTAATAGTTACTGGTTCGGTGTGATTGTAAATTATAATGGATATTGTAAATCTTTGGAGGTGTAATGTATATGTATACATATGTTGGCGGTTCTGCGATCTAGTTATTCCTGGTAGTCTCCAATTTTATTGTCTTGGATTTTATAATTGTTTCCGCCGCGAATTAACTCTGATGGGAACATTGGGTCGGCGACGTGTTCCTGGGACGTCGCACTGATTCGACCGAGCTGGAGGGAAGTCACGGGTTCGATGGGGTTCGGGGCGTGACATAAACTGCATTATTCTCCAAAGCTAATCAATTCTAGCTCATAAGTTAGAGTTCTTTGCCTAAAATGCATCTAACCTAAAAGGCATCAAACATGAATGCAATATATCATCCTATACATATTTACCATCTCTAATAGGAAAGTATTAGGCATATTTACCATGTTAACTGTTGCGATATGCCTATCAATAAATACAATTGTCGATCATAAGTTTGACGAAATAAAGTTAACCTCTGATAACAATAAACACAATTTTATCGAACTCGATACAATATTGTTTGGTAAACAAAAAGTAACGCCATGACTTTATGTTTTTAAGTTTATCATATTGATAATTCATTATATGCATGCTATTTAGTTATGTAAATGTTTCTTTAAGTTTGTATTTGCGTTGTACATTATTTCACACTCGTTTTTACGACATCATATTGCATGAAAGTTTGACAAACATCTTGGCCCTCCAAGTAAATTTTCTTATGAAGTCTAGACTAAGGTTTCTGCAATGTCCTTGGCCTGGATTAAACTTGCTGGAAAGGGGAAAATTTTCATAGGCTCTCTCAATCTTCCTAGAACAGAGCAAAAACCCAATAGTCTGGAGTAGAGCAGAAAGTATGTAAGGCAGGCCAACCTTAGGCTAGAAAACAAAAAAGCCGCAGATAATTATTCAGTATCGAAGTTGGAAATGTCATTTCTTAAGTGACCAACAGAAGTGAAATCTAGCCTGGGAAATGGCATAAACATCTAGAACTTTTACAAGCATAACTTCACCTAGTATAGTTGTTTACTTAACCAGCCCATTACTTTCCAGGCAATGCGATTTCTTGCTAGTCGCCCATCAAATCCATTTATTAAGAAAAACTGCTGTATGAGAAGCAAGAACAAGGAAAGGACACATCGACTGAATTTGATAGACCATCTTGCTAAGTATTTGATTTGAACAGACAGGACGCTTACAATATTTCCAATTGGAAAGACACCAATTATACTGAAGCACAAAACCCCATCTTTATCTCCACCATAAAGGATATGGAAACACTGCTTTGAAGAATTTGAGAGCTCTACAAATGAATTTTGAACATCGTCAGTTAAACCAACATCTCTGGGTACTAGTCCAGGCATTCGAACTCTTGGAGCTGGAGGGAAGAATTGAGTAGTGCGATCTTCAAATGTCAAAGAGTTACCAGAAGCGTTCTATAAAACAAATGAATAATTACTTTCCAGTTGGAAAATAAAAAGATGAAAAAAAATATGAGATTAAAGCTAAGAAGCCAAACAAATCAACAAGTTACAGATGACTCCAAACATACGCTTTCAAAAAATCTTCCATAAACCATACTAAAGCTTTTGGACTGTGAAATAAGATTCTAAGTTTGAAAAAGAAGTACTTAAGAAAACCAGAATAAAATAACTACTTAACTGCAAAGGAAGCATTATGAAAGGTGTTAGCCATAAAATATCCGCTATTGGTAATAAAGATCACGAAGTTGTATCAACTTTTAAGTTGAAAGATGCATACTCTATTCACTTGGGCATCCTCCTCCCAGTTGAGACACACCACAGCTGCCATATGGGACTTCAAGCTTCTTAACAGTTTTCCATTCTGCTTAATATATATACTGTAACAGTCTGAATTTTCGACCCTTTTCCCGGGATTTAGGAAATGAATTTGACCAATGCACTATAGTGAGATTTCACCGGGACCCGTGCATTCTCGGGATGCTAACCTGGGGGTAAGGCTATTACGGGATTGAGTTCGCATGACCAAAGAACTCGACCTGGGTTCGATCTTCGACCATATGGATTGACAAGGGAATGTTTTGAGCCAACCGAGACCGGTCTATTTGATTGATCGTGTCCGAAGGGAACTAGCGACAGACCCTCGCAATTATATGACAATCGAGATCCTCCCGGGTAGAGTAAACTTAAACGTGATTTGACTTGGTGTCGGTCACGGGTCGAGAGCGCGTAATCCCAATGAGCCACCCGTTAGCCAGAGATAAGCTAAAGTTGCGATTGTTCAATTTTAGTCATTTCTTGGAATTCGGGCCCGGGAATCGAGAATTTTGAAAGTGACAATTTTGAGCGGCCGGTGACGTTTTTGGCTTGGCCAACCTTGGGGCCACCCATTTCTGCAAAAAAATAGATTTCGGTTCGAGATCGGAAAAATTACGATTTTGCCCCTCGGGACCCCAATGTCGATTTTGAGGCCGTATGAGATTATTTTCGAGGCCGATGTCATTTTAGGGTGGCACGCACATTTAGAGTCATTACGGTCAAAATTGGAATTTTGGCTCGAAGTGAAAAATAATATTATTTTATTCCTAGGACTTTGCAGTCGATTTTCGAGGGCTTAAGAAGCTATTTTCACGATTCCGACGCTATATTATGTTGGCCACACACATTTGGGGTCGGTACGGGCAAAAAATGGAATTTCGACCCGGGACCGGAAAAATGACCATTTTGCCCCTGGGCCATTTTTAGTTCCGAATTTTGGGAAAATTTTGGGGATAATTATTTGGATAATTCAGCTCAATTATTGGGGCCAAAGACCAAAATCCCCTCAATTATTTGGATAAGATCAACCAAGACCGTTGGATTAAGGGCATTTTAGTCAAATCTCCCCGGATCGGCGACACGTGTCCCCCACCGACCCCACTTTTTTACCAATATTGACTCTCTCTCCCCTTCACCTCCTCATTCGGCCACTCCCCCAACCAGAACTCCCCTTCCTCTCTCTCTCCACAATTTCTCTTCTTTGCCGATTCTCCCTTCGCCGATCGTGAGCTCGCCATCGCCGGAGGCTGCTGGGCAGCTGTTCCAGCCCCTTGTCCAGCCCGTTTGTCCGCCTTTTCAAAGTAAGTGACTTCCCCCAATCGACACCTAGGACCTCGGGTATTGCTAGGCTCGTTTAGGGTTCGGTTTAGGTGATTTTCGTGGTTGTTTTGGACTGAAATAGTGGCTGGTGGTTCGGGTGGTTGTGGACTGATTTGGAGACTGAAAATATGAGGTTTGGGAGGTTCGAATAGGGCCGTGATGATACGGAACGATCACGGTTTGAATTCGTGTGATTTGGTGTGATTTTCGGATTTGTGACTACTGTACCCGTCCGGTTTGCTATTTTTGTGGAGAATTTTGGGGGCCGAATTTGAGGAAGTTTTCTTCATGAAAGTTGTTCCCAACATCTTGAAGTATAACATATTTTAATTTGGGAATTTTTCGAAATCATTTGATGCCATTCGGAAGTCCATCTTTGGACCGAAATAAAACTGCCCGATTTACTGTTCACCCGACCTTCGGGTCTGTTCGAATTTTTATAAATTTTTCCAGGCCTATTTTAAAAATACTTCCTTCACAAAAATTGTTGGGGACATTTGTGGTTATAACATATAAAAATTTCAAAGCTTTTCAAGGTGATTTGGGTGTTGAAATAAATGTATTTTGAGGACAAAATAGTCTGTTAGAGCGAACAGATTTTGGTCTGATTTCGAGGGACAAAAAGGCATGGTTGTAGATTGAACCGGATTTCGTGTTCTTCATAAGAAATGTTTATCGGGATGTGTTTTGTAATATATCCAAAATTCAGAATTTTTGGAGTTCATATATGCGATTGTATGGTTTGTGATTGTTGGTTGATTCTGGATTGTGTCTTGGGCTGAATGTGCCGTGATCGTGTGCCGAGAGTGTGTGGCCATGAGGCGTGATGGTGTAATTGCGCATTGAGTTTGCGTGCCAAGCATGGGTGTTCAGGTGGTGTTCGTGTGACGAGGATGTGAAATTGTGATGTGTGTGTGAGGTGCGTGTGTTTGGCCGTGTGGTATGTGTGCAGAGTGTGAAATTGTGATATGTGTGTGAGGTGCGTGTGTTTGGCCGTGTGGTATGTGTGGAGAGTGTGAAATTAAGGTACGGGAATGTAGGATGGATTGGAAAAGTGATACCTTGAGGCGTGTTCGTTTACGCAGGGTAAGGTCCGTCCTGAGGCGTGTACGTTTACGCGGGACGATGGCGTCCCTGACGAGGTGACGATGCCCGGCCCGACGGGGTGTCGATGCCTGACGAGGTCAGAAGACCGTTGGCCTGATGCGTTTTACGCGGGTGCGGTAGAAGGAAAGTTGAGTGTAGGATTCCGTCCTGAGGTGTGTTCGTTTACACGGGACGATGCCGTCCCGACGAGGTGACGATGCCCGGCCGACGGGGTGACGATGCCCGACGAGGCCGAAGACCGTTGGCCTCGATGCGTTTTACGCGGGCGCGATAGTGGTGGAAAGGTTGAGGATGAGCTGGATTGGGCTTGATGTGCGAGATTTGTGAAAGTTGACGCGTGGTGTGAGTTCGTGTGCGAGTGTGATTTATATCGCGTAAGTAGTGCTCAATTATGGGGTGAAAACTGCTAGGCATGGTATGGGACGTGCCCTAGTGGGTTTTACCTTATAATCGAGGTATGTACGCGTCTGTGATGTATTACTGTGAGGTGCTGGCTGTATTATGGTCTAACGTGCAGGAACGTGCATGATGGGTTCCAGGTAGGTTCGTGTGTGATTGTTAGATTGATTGATCGTTGTGTGAGATGCGTGTTCTATTTGGTGGTACGTGAGTGCCTACATGGGGTTTGGGGTTGTACACTTATTGAGATTCGTCTCATAGTTGTATAATCCACAATTTCAGACCCCCAGCTGTAAACCCGGGAAGTTCGCCTCTTCTTTTTGGAAGGTCGAGGAACCGTTTTTGGTGCCCGGTGGAACTGCAGGTGAGTGTCCGGAGGCTCAAGCCCGAAGAATCAGGAGCAGAACGGAAGGCGATCCTTAGGTTTTTCCCTATGGTATTTTAGGAGTTGTTTAACTTGGGTTATCCGATAGTGAAGTTAAGATAACCAAACCCCTGAATTTTTGTTAATACGATGGCGGAGGATGTTCGTTGGTATTTATGTCTGTAATATGATGTTTGTATATTTGGTGATGTATGAAGATGTTGTTTGATTCTTATGGTGTTCTACCCCGTCGTCGTCATCTTTCTGTTCGGGGTTTTTATATTCGCTTCCGCATGTGGCTCTGATGTTTGGGTTGGGTCGGCGACGTTCCTGGGACGTCACAATATTTCGACCGGAGCAGGGGATGTCGCGAGCTCGATGGGGTTCGGGGCATGACATATACCATGTTAGAAATGATTATACCACGGTGTGCATAACTGCTGCAAGCACTAGCATATTAAAAGCAGCACACTGCATATCCATAGTTCCATAAAGACAACTACTTTGGTAAGATAACATTAATTATGTACAAACAATCTCTCTTCTCAGCAAAATTAATCCATGAAGTGGATGATTAGTAATAAACTGGTAGAAATCTCAAAGAAACAGAATTGCAGCAGCCTCAGCCGAGTTCTCAGCCATTCCACTCATGACCAAGCAGCTATAGCTTAATAAAACCATAACCAGTTATATACAAACTTTTCCACCAACAAGCATAATTGAGGCAGATACAAATCCTATTGCCTTCCTAATATTGACTGAACTTAACATATTTTACTAATAATTGATAGAAGCTATTAATTTTGATGAAAATGAGCATGTCACAGATGAATATATGATACCATCCACTTAGACCATAGATTCTCACAATGAGCTGGACCCCAGTAAACACTATGCTGTAATTTGTCGTTGACATTTGAAATAGTTTCAATCATTGATGACAACATTAGTAGCGAGGTGAAAATTTTTTGTCCTACACGAGAATGCAATTGAGCACATCAATCAGATTCAAGTCCTAAAGTATACAAATCTATTGAATGAGTAGATTCATTCTGTATGATATGTGATTAAAGTAATTCACCGCTGATTTCACCGATTAAATATGAGTCAATCAATTTCCTTGATTTATAACATAACTCATGCATCAAACAATGTAGTGTCAAAAACATTTCTTGGTTTTGATGTAGGACGATCTGTCCCACAATAAAGAATAAATATTTATGCATCACACAAACCGCCTAAGCATCACACCTAGGATTTCTTAAGCATCCCACCAAAGAGGAATTGCATCACACAATCCGCAAAGCAAACACTTGCCAAGTTCTATAAATTATCAACTTCGAAAAGTAAAAATTACAACTATATTTGTAGACTCTCTAAAAGTTCTACTCATAGTTGAAATAGGAAATCTCTAAACAAGAAACATAATTGCAGTATACATAAGATCCTACTACTCAAACTTAAAAAAAAGAAGGAAACTTTGTAAAATCCTAATAACACTCAAATCCTAGTGGATAATTTTAGTGATGAAACTTCAAGACGAATCCTGATCCTTGTTTGAGTTTCAAAGTCAATCTTCACCAAAACATTGGTAGTCATCTTGCATGATTTTGTCGGCTGCATCAGGCTTAGTGGATGGTTTGATTGTCTTATACTAAGTTCTATGAATGGGAAACCAAATACAATACTATGTACACGATCTTTGTGTCCTTGTAGTCAAATGGGTACTTATTTGACAAAAGAAAAATAATTTGTAGCAATATCTCATGTCTGTAACATTAGTCGAATTTGAAGTATCTTTATCATTAGTTATTACCTAACAATAAAAATAACACCATACTTTACAATTAATTTACATCTGTCATGGAATGCCAATCTCAAACAATATATCAAATTTTATGATTCCACTGGATGAAATTCAAGATCCACAATCCATAGATTTAATTTTTTGATTCATGACTCAAATTTCCATGTGACAACTAAGGGTGATCCTAAGTGGTTAACATGTGATGTCAAAATTGTGGCTACCTACTTAACAGTTAACACAATTAATAAACGAATATTGTTCCGGGTTCAAAGTTCAAACTGCGAAACACAAATTGACTCTTGTAATCTATCTAAGTAAACAATAGTGCCAACTTGATTAACAACCTGACCTATCATGACCTGTTTATATTTAGTTCAGTAAGTTCTCTAATAATAAATCATACATGAATTTTGTTCCATAGTGGTTACAAATTACAATTTGATCAGACCATATAAATATAACATTTCATGTAAACCTAGGATTTTGTAAGCTTACGGCTAGTTTCTTTTCAAACTTATTTGACATTGATGAAGATATGCATATTGTACATATGCCGTGTTGGTCATGTTAGGATTGGAATGACCCATTCAATTCAATCTAACTAGTTAAATGGGTATTCATCTCTTGTAATTTGTTGACCTATTAAACAAATGGGTCATTTCGAATAGAGTTTTTCTAATAAATTTTTTTGTTGAGCATATCCTCGCTTTCGATTGACCTATCTAGCAATCCATTGTTAACTTGAAATTGACAGACATGACCAATAAAAATGGATTGCCATCTCTATTAGCAGCTGAAAGTTCGGCCGAGCAAGTTTTCTATTTGCACTGCATCATGCAGATTTCGAACAATTCAGAATCTTTCCCAAGAGAGATTAGAGAAAAACAAGTGCTTGATGATAAAGAACTACACGGGGAGGAATTTCTAGTTGAGAAGTAATGAGGATAACATTCAAGTAACAACATAGAAAACTTCCTTTGACATCATACAGTAAAACTGTACCGTCTTCAAGCCCCAAGACAACAACCTTGCCATCAGGATGCCAGCAGGATCATGTTATACATTTACCTGGAGTGGAGTAGAATGATCAAGAAGAGCCAGTACTGAGGAGACGCATTGAAATGTGCAAAGAAAGTGAGTTCATTATAAACAAGAAAGAACAGAAAGAGAGAGATAATGAAAATTTTTTCCCAATAAAATTAACAGGAGAAGAGAAAAGATAGAGCACACACATTAACCGACAAAATGTTAATCAAAATTTGGGAAATGAGGCAAAACATCATAAGTGTACAAAGTAACTGAGAGGATATGGGATTTCTTTGGGTTAGTAGGTCATCTAAAGCGAGGGAAATTAGATCTTGTTGGCAGGCTCCAATCCAATATCTGAATCAAAAAACAAATCTTGTCGTTCAACTATGGAACCTCAAGGTGGAGTGGATGCATGAAAGCTTACTTCAGGCGAGGATTACAAGTGTACTAGTATTTACAACTTAGGATCGTAACAGAAACCATTCAAAATTTGCTCAAGTGCTATAGTGCACTCAAAACGTTCTTCATATCTAGAAGACAATATGACGAATGAAGCATTCAGATGTTTTTGGAGAAGAAATCTCCTCTCTAAATTTTTCCAGTGAGAATTGACAGCAAGAACTAGCAAGGCTAGGCATCTAATCCTAAGCTCTTAGCCTCTTACTAATTTGAATTACCAAAAGATTAAGTCATATAGGAACTTAACATACTCGGATGCAGCTCCCCTTACCCTCCTAGTCTCTTTGCATTCTCCAATTCCTTCCTCTGTCCCTCCTGACCAGATTGTCATACAAGTACGCAGCATAGCTCGAGATATATCCTATTCAAAAGTTGAACTCCCACCAGCCAACTTGATTAATCACAATGATGTGACGAAATGCCCTCTTGTAATGAGAAAAAGATAAATTAAACTTCAAGCAATACAAAACATGAGAGGCTTTCCGCCTATAGTCTATATTTTAGTAAAATTACATCGTGAGAGTTGCCATCAGAAATCTAAGAAGATCTTTTTAGATGCCTGATGACATTTATATGGTCTTCCTGCAGGGCTAAACTCGCCAACTCCAAGTGGGCATCAAGCATTTAGCTTCGACATAGCCGCTTAGCTAGTCTATCTAGCATAAATGGCATCCGTCCGATTCATGTTAATTATTTTCATGGACACTTTAACTGGTGTACAAAGAAGGGCAACAAGATGGCCGTACAGGAGTATGGTACACTTACGGTCGGTGTTGATGACTGTCGGCTAGGTTATGGAAAAAATCTCCCAAGGCAACAACCTGGTTGAGAAGTTGATGAGAATCTATCATGCCTGGAAATAAAATCCCTCAATTCAACTAATACCAGCTTGGAATTCTTTTACTTGCAACTAAGTCGTCTCTAGATCTCCACTCGCATCGCCATCATTCGCTCTTCGTTTCTGTGTAAAAAGACCAACTCCTCAGTTCGACGTTCACCTTCTCATTTAGACTTTCAAGCACTTTATACCTCTGTATTCGTTCAATTCTCTCCATCGAACGCAATTCGTGCTAGATCGGCAATCACAGTTGGTTCCTATAAGGAAATAGGAAGCGGACCACATTTAGGAAAAGCGAAAGAAGTAGAACGAGATAAGGGCAATGACTCACAGAGCACACCCCAAGCCATCGTTGAAGAAACGAACACACTGAACAAAGAGAAGAGAGAAATTTTCTCGAATCGTAGCAATTACCAGGAGAGGTTGTCCACAGCCTCTTGCCAATCGAAGCGACGAAGCACCACCCACCTTCGAGTCCTCCCGTGTGACCATGGCCAGCAAATCCTTCTCCTGATTCCACTCACGCCATATTCAATTAACGCCCATCGGAAGAAATCGAGCAACAGCCTCACCAAACCGAATCGGAAGACAATCGAATCGACCTTGAAGCCGAAACGGAAGCACGCGCCGGCGACCCTTCTTCGTCGGTCTCCCATTGCTAGAAAGCTCCGCCTGCTGGAGCAAACCGTGAGGAGTATATAGAAGCGTGCGAGGAAATGGGCCGGGCCGGACTTTATAACTATATAGCCTTGTCAAACAACGCACGAAGTGCCCCCTTCGGGCCCATGTAGGCTGCAAGAAGCGGTTGATTAATTATTGAAATGTAATTTGGAAAAAAAGCAATGTGATGTCTTGTCAATCATGTCATCCTCATTCACTTTGAATAAGGAAAGCAGGTTAAGGAGTTGTTCAAATTGGCAATCTTACAAGAAACATGTTCACGACCTGCTTAGAGACTACCTATATAAAAATTACGATAACGTATGGAGTCGATGTTTAAGCATTCTAATGTCAATGCCATTAAACTTATCCAAAAGCTCCTTTAAGAAAGATTTTCCTATATTCAGTACATACTCACCTATATTTTTATTTGCGTATTGTGGTTATAAATTAGATTTTCAAAGTTGACTCAAGATACATAACGTTTTTTTTGTACATCTCAATGTACGTAGGATATTATGATGGCCGCGATGGACAATCCATCGGACGCAAGTGGAATGGGCAACGGCGGAGATGATAAATCGGCCCAATCTCCTTCACGAAAGCTGAAAAGAAATAGATAGAGTCGTGGAAAAGGAGAAGTTAGTCCAAGAAGAGTTTGATATCCTCCGGCTCAACTACATTAAGGTATGTGCCAGGGAGGCCTTCAGGCTCCACCCGATCGCGCCCTTCGACGTCGCGCACATCACCCTGTCAGATGTCGTCGTGGCTGGCAACTGTATCCTCGGGGGCAACAACATCCTCGCGAGCCGGATGGGTCTTGGCTGAAACCCTAAAGTGTGAAGATGAAACACGCATGAAATGAGGGTTCCACATATTTTACCAAGCTCACTCTCCCTCCTTCCCTCCTTTTTTTTTCAAATTAGTATTTATTTTTTGCTAACGTGGCATGTGAATTAGCACCACCTGGCAAATTTTTGCCATGTAAGCATTGTGACGTCAGCAAACTGATAGAGTGCTTCCGAACATGCAAATTACATGACTCGATTGGGAGTAAGAAAATGTTCAAGAACCTAACTTTTATATTTAGCAAGAGCTAGTTATTTGAAAAATGTACTTAATCATTTGTTCTCTATCATCCCATCTTGGGGGGTCTCGTGTAACGGCCCGAATTTCGACGTAATTCCGGATCAATAAATTGATATTATTTCGCATTTCATTTTAGTAAGTCTCGCCTGTAACCGATCATTCTCAGGATACTAACCTTTAGGGAATGGCTACCTAGGGAAATGTACGTGGACCTAAGAACTCGATCATGAGTCGACCTTCGGTGACGATCGAGGTCGCCATGACTTAGAATAACTCTAGGTTGATACGCTAATCCCCAAACAGCCTGCGTTAGTGAGAGACCCTAAAATTGAGATTGGGCGATTTTGATCGCGAAATTGATCCGGACTTGGATGTTGATTTTCGAGGTCGTGCACAACTAATTTTACGAGGATGACGTCATTTTAGTGTGGCCAATGATGTTTGGGGTAAGTACGGTCGAAAAATGGAATTTCGACCAGGAACTCAGAAATTATAGTTTTGCCTTCTGTGGGCACCGAGAGGCTGAATTCGGAGGCCGTTTGAGGTTATTTTTCACGGCCAAGGTCATTTTAGGGTGGCCATAACATTTAGAGTGGTTTTGGCCAAAAATTGGAATTTCGACAAAAATTGGAAAATAATATTATTTTATTCGAACTTTGCAGAATCAATTTTCGAGGGCTTGCGCGATGAATTTTCGTGATTCCGATGCCATATTATGTTGGCCACACTCATTTGGAGTTGATTTAGCCAAAAATTGGGAATTTAGCCTCGGGACCGGAAAATTACGATTTTGCCCCTAGGCCTATTTTTGGGTATTCGAATTTTTGGGGATTTTGGAAATTGAATTTGGGGATTAAGTGTGGATAAATATCAGCCCCAAAATATTGGACAAAAATGCCCTTAGATATTTTGCGGTTTTGGAAGAATGTGGACCAAGTGTTATAGGGGCAAAATTGGAATTAAGAAAAAAAAATTGGTCAAACTCGGACCAAATATTTAATTGCTTCTCCCCCTCTCTCTCTCCCTCATTCGCCATTTCCCCTTCTCCTCCCCTCCCTCACCGAAATCCCCTTCTCTCCTTTCTCCCCTCACCAAACCATCTTTCCCTCTCTCGGCCGCGTGGACGCCTTCGATCACCGCCGGGAGACCGTCGCCGCCGCCATGTGCCGCCGTGAGATGCTCGGCCAGCTGCTCCCCCTTCGCTCTAGCCGAGTTAGTCTAGAGTTCGGGTAAGTCGCGATCTAATCCCTATTTAGGACGTCGGGTATTTTCGGACTCGTTCGGGTATGGTTTAGAGGATTTAGAGTTAATTAAGGCGTTGATAATGATTATTGGTGGTTGATCATGGTTATTGGTGGCTGAGTATGGCTGGTAGTGGTTGTTGCGGGTTGGATTAGACGTCGGGAAATGAGTTTTGGTGGTTGGAATTCGGTAGAAATCGGTTCGGGGTGAATCGCGGATTCACGGTTACTGTATCCGCCCGGTTTACTATTTTTGTAGAGAATTTTGTGGGCCGAATTTGAAGAAGGTTTCTCCATGAAAGTTGTTCCCAACATCTTAAAGTATAACATATTTTAATTTGTGAATTTTTGGAAATCATTTGATGCCATTCGGAAGTCCATCTTTGGACCGAAATAAAACTGCCCGATTTACTGTTCACCCGACCTTCGGGTCTGTTCGAATTTTTATAAATTTTTTCAGGCCTATTTTCAAAATACTTCCTTCACAAAAGTTGTTTGAGACATTCGTGGTTATAACATATAAAAATTTCAAAGCTTTTCAAGGTGATTTGGGTGTTGAAATAAATATATTTTGAGGACAAAATGGTCTGTTGGAGCGAGTTGATTTTCGTCTGAATTCAAGTGACCAAAATAGGTGTTTCTAGTTGGAACTAAGTTTCGAGTTCTCCACAGAAAATGTTCAGCAAGATGTTTTACGCAACGTGTCCAAATTTTAGAATTTTTGGAGTTCTTTTACTATTTATTTTGATGAGATTTCGGTCACTGTTTAGGGTTCGGTTTAGGGGTTTATGTGGCTGTTTTGGGGGCTGAGATGAAGGCTGGTATTTGGTTGTCGTGGGCTGATTTGGGGACTGATTTGGCGAAGAAATTGGTGAGGATTTGTAGGCTCGATGATGGCTGTGATGTGTGGAGCGATCGCAGTTAATTTGTATAATTGATTGGAATTATTGTGACTGTTTGGAGACTGAATTAGAGGCTGGATATTTGTTGGTTACGGACTGATTTGGCAATGAAAAATTAAGGTTTAGTAGATTTGGATAGGGCAGTGATATTGTGGATCAATCGGGATTAGGTGTTGGGCTGAATATGGCGTGGCTGTGTGTCGTGTGTATGTGGCCGTGAGGTGTGGCGGTGTGGTAGTGTGAATGCGCATTGAATTCGCGTGTTAAATGTGTATGGCCGTGTGTTGTATTCGTATGACAAGAACGTGTGTTTGTGAAGTGTACATGAGATGTGAATTGGTGCGTGGCTATGAATGCGTGTGAGGTGTGTATGTTTGGTCGTGCGGCGGTGACCGTGTGTAAAGTGCGGTTTGAGTGGAACGAGGATACTGAGAAATGTGGAATTGGTTTGGAAGGATCCGTCCAGGGGGCGTGCGTTCACAGCGGGGCGATTTACGTCCCTCGATTTATGGTAGACGATGCCCGCCTGACGGGGGTGATGATACTGGCGTGGTCAAGACCGTTAGCTTGATGCGTTTCACGCGGGCGCGGTAGAAGGAAAGTGTGTGTAGGATTCCGTCCTGGCGTGTTGGTTTACGCGGGACGATGCCGTTCCACGACGAGGGTGACGATGCCCGGCTCGACGGGCT